ATCAGTTGTTAATAGATGAAACTTGTGCTTTTTGAGGAATGATGCGTCGGTTGAATTGCTTCCACAAGCTTTCTCTCATATCTTTAGCTCTTAAGCAATATATAAGTGGATTAATCATAGGGGGGGAAAAGGCTGTACAGCATGATTATTACTATTCGCATATCAGCACGAAATCTAATGCCAACATTGCTGGCTAAATACACAAAACATCTGGGTAAATAATAGAGGGAGATTATAATCAGCTGAGTACTGCAAGTGGACAGAGCTTTTTTGCGACCTTGTATGTTCGCAATCTTAAGTACTGCTATAATTATAGAGCAATATGAGAACAGTATGAATGCCAGAGGTCCCAGTAAGTAAACCATTGCAAACACAAAAGCAGGAAAACCATAAGGGGCTCTGTCAGTGCATGCCAGGGTTGTTATACCAATATGATCACAGAAGCAGTGGTTGATTATGTTTGAGGCACAGTATGGGAGAGGGTATGCCCTAATAGTGATCATTAAATTGTTTGGCTGGGACATAACCCATGCTGTAATACTGAGAATTTTGATCGTGGAGTTTTTAAAAACAATGGGATATCTGAGAGGATGGCAGATCGCCAAATACCTATCTAAAGCCATCAGCAAGAGAATTAAGGAATTCACTGTGCCAAGATAGTGAACAAAGTACATTTGGACAAAACAAGCAGTGAATGAAATGGTCCCTGATTGAAACCAATACTTACTGATGATCTTAGGTAAAGTGGTTGTGCTAAAAAGGATGTCACATGTACTCAGATTTAGAATTATATAATACATTGGCTTATGGAGACTTCGGTTGGTTGCAAATAAATAAATAATTGTAACATTACCTGTCAAAGTAAAGACATAAACGAAGAACAATATTGCTGAGACAAGGCCTTGGTACTCTGGATAAAGTCCAGGGAATCCAGTAAGGATAAATTCAGTCACGGCGCTCTGATTTCCCTCTGGCATGATGGAGCAGAAATGTCCTCAATACACTGAAAAGGAAATACGGGGTCAGTGAGTCAACACTTTAGATACAACA